TCTACTCTACTCATTCCTATTTCTATTCTATTCTATACTATACTATTCTATTCTTGTTCTATTCCATTTTCCATTCTATTTTCTATTCTATTCTATATTCCATTCCATTCCATCCTTTCTCTCTCTTTTTTTTCCACATCTTCATCCTAAGAAGGCAACCTTTCTCCTCCTTATCTGTCTTTTGGCAACAACCTGTGTCCTCGATCAAGAGTCAAACTTCATTTGAGACAAAGATCTGCAAAAACGCCCAGTGACAAAAGCTTTCCGACAGAATGAAAAAAAAACAAAAGACACACAACTGGAAAAGCGTTCAATGTCGCCAAAGGTGTTTTGTCTTTCGTGTTTGGAATTGACGTCTTTAATCAAGGAAGCAGGTTTTGAGTTTCTCGGAGCGCCGTGTGTTAAAAACAAAACAAAGCAGAAATAATCAGTTTGTCCCCATTTCTTTTCAAAGGTTTCAGGTGATTCTCGGTCGTTTTCACAAAAGAAGAAATGCCAACTTAACCCATTGGGAAGGAAACAGCGTGGAAAGTTAATACAAGACTTAATCTGCTCTCTAAAACTCCTTTTTCTCGGAAGGATTGACAGGATAAAATGGGGAGGGGGTGGATTTATTAAGGGACAAAGGAGGGGGAGGGTTGAAAAAGCACTAATTAATTTTCTTCTAGGCCTTGTTGTTAACTCCAGCAAGCTCCCAATTTTGTTGATAGCACCAAATACAGGCCACCCTCAATGTTGATCGCCATCCGTTTAAAAACGGTTTAAATTTACAACGGCCTGGGAAAAAATTAACTTAGGATCGGTCCTCAGATGTACGACTGTTGGCTCCACCTTCACAGTCAACGCGACACTCAACAACTGTGGGTCACAAAAGGAGATTCCCATGACCCTGGGTCACTGCCACCATCGTAAAAATGAGTCAGGAGAGATTCAACCTGGAAATAAGGAGAAACTTTCTGACAGGGAGGACAATCAACCCATGGAACAGAAGTTGCCTTCAGAAGTTGTGGGAGCTTCATCCCTGGAGGCTTTCAAGAAGAGACTGGACTGCCCTCTGTCAGAAATGGTGTGGGGTCTCCTGCTTGGAAAGGGGGTTGGACTAGACAACCTTACAAGGTCCCTTCCAATTTCCTGTCAGTGAGAACAATCCACCCGACGGAATGGAAGTTGCCTTCAGAAGTTGTGGGAGCTTCATCCCTGGAGGCTTTCAAGAAGAGACTGGACTGCCCTCGGTCAGAAATGGTGTAGGGTCTCCTGCTTGGGTGGGGGGTTGGACTAGATGACCTCCAAGGTTACTTCCAACTATTGTTCTGTTCTGGTTGAGATATCTGACTAGACAGCTATGCTAGAAAAGGTGCAGAGAAGAGCAACCAGGATGATGAGGGGACTGGAGGCTAAAAGATAGGAAGAACAGTTGCAGGAACTGGGCCTGGCTCGTCTAGGGAAGAGAAGGACCAGGGGAGACAGGAGAGCAGCCTTCCAATATTTGAAGGGAGAGGGAGAGAAAGGAAAGGAAAGAGAAAGAGAAAGAGGAAGGAAGGAGAGAAAGAAAAAGAGGGAAAGAAAGAGGGAGAGAAAAAGGAAGGAAGGAAGGAGAGAAAGAAAGAAAGAGGGAGAGAAAGAGAGGGGGAGAGAGCAAGAGAGAGTGACTGGAGGCTGAAACATACAATGAACTGGGCCTGGCTAGTCTAGGGAAGAGAAGGACCAGGGGAGACAGGAGAGCATCTTCCAATATTTGAGGGGCTGCTCCAGAGAGGAGGAAGGAGTCAAACTATTCTCCAAAGCCGCTGAAGGCCAGACAAGGAACAGTGGATGGAAACTGATCAAGGAGAGATTCAACCTGGAAATAAGGAGGAATTTTCTGACGATGGGAAGAATCAACCCATGGAACAGAAGTTGCCTTCAGAAGTTGTGGGAGCTTCATCCCTGGAGGCTTTCAAGAAGAGATTGGATTGCCATCGGTCAGAAATAGTGTAGGGTCTCCTGCTTGGGCGGGGGGTTGGACTAGATGACCTACTAGGTCCCTTCCAACTCTGATGATCTGTTAAAATACACACCGGAGGGTTAGCTGAGCCCCAAACAGCCTCTGAATTCGGGCAGAGAGATCAACTTGTTGCCGCTGAGATCGCAGTAATCCAGGAACTTCCGGACGCAGCGCTTGGGCCGGGCGTTTTGCTTCATGTATAGCTTGAAAGGGCGCAGCTCCCGCTCGCTCACGCCGTTGCTGAAGTCTCGGTCCAGGTGGGTGAACTGCCAGCGCACGGCCCGGTCTTCCAAGCTGGGGGCCGCCAAGGAATCCGGAAACCTGCCAGAGAGCATGTCGTGGGTTTGGTTTTTTTTAAACGTGGTTTAATTGTCACTGCAAGTCAAGGTGGTATTTGTAATGTTCCCAACAACAACCCTGGAAGGTAGGCTGGGCTGAGCGTAAGAGACTCGCCCTGAATCCCTCAAGGGGGGACTAGAACTCATCACCACCTGGGGATTGGCCCCAAATCACCCAGCTGGCTTTCAAGCCCAAGGCAAAACTTGAACTCATGGCCTCCCAATTCTTGGCCCTTAAACTTTACCAAATACTCTTTCTCCCTCTCTCTCTCTTCCCTCCCTTTCTCTCTCTCTCTTTCTTCCCTTCCCTCCCCTTCTCTCTTTCTCTCCCTTTCTCCCTCTCACCCTCCCTCTCTCTCTCTTCCCTCCCGTCTTTCTCTCCCTCTCCCTCTTTCTCCCTCCCTCCCTCTCTCTATTCCCTTCCTACTCTGTCTCTCTCTCTCTCTTTCTTCCCCCTCTACCTCTCTACCTCCCTCTCTCCTCCAACTCTGGCTAGCTGTGTCAGACTGGGTCTCCAGGACCCTCCAGATAATAATTTATCTGTCTACAGGGTTCCTATATGCCAACTGGACAAACGCTCTTGGAAAAATCTCTAACCAAATTAACCATGTTCCAAAACTTGGGAGTTTGGCTTAGGGCCCTCACTTCACCCAACGCCTGCAGCCCAAGTCCCTGTTTCTTGATCTTGGCAGCTTTTAAGGGGGTGTGGACTCCAAATCCCAGAATCCCCTCGCCACCACGCTGAAGTCCACCCATCTTCAAGTTCAAAATGCTAGCTAGAGAACCATGGAAGTTGAAATCCAGAGACCTTAAAGTCTAGAAACACAACTCTGCATAATATCTTTGATCGTGCGGTTCACAGACGGAAGGCACTTCCTTTTTCGCCAGGGGCGAGCCAAATTTACCTGCGGTATGGAATGGTCATCAGCCTTGATTGGAGCATGTGGGAACTCAATGCTTTGATCAGTTGGGTAAGGAACTGAGTTTTCTTTGACCCGGGACAACCTAGTCGGAAAGATCAAAAGACAGGAATCTTTCAAACAGAAAGCTGCTGAAAACCCTTGTCGAAAATAAACGTTTAGTTTAGTTTAATTTACTTTATTGTCGTTGCACATTGTACAACGAAATTAAATGCCATCTCCAGTGTACATTATGACTGAAAGTAAACACAAACACACCTCCTTCCCATTCTATACATTGAATTGAAAACCCCTGATATTGCATTAATATTACACTATACAGGAGAATTCAATAGAGTTACTTGCCCTGGGATAGAAGCTGTTTTTCAGCCTATTTGTCCTTGTTTTTATTATTGTCCTGTACCGTCTGCCAGATGGTAATAGTTAAAAAAAAAAGGGTTCCTAGGATGAGATGGATCTTTGAGGATGTTTTGAACTTTCTTAAGGCAGCAGGAGCTCTTCCAAAGAGGGGAGAGGACAACCCAGGATCCTCTGGGCAATGATGTTAACCCTCTGGAGTGCCGTCCTATCTGCCCCGGTGCAAGTGGCAAACCCTACACAGGTGTGTAGTAAGTTAAGATACTCTCTATGGTGCAGCGGTAGAAGGTCACCAACAGTTTTTCATCCAGTTGTCGTTTCCTGAGAAACCTCAGGTAGTCTAATCTCTGCTGGGCCCTTTTGACCAGGGCTGCAATGTGAGCCCCCCAGGTCAGGTCCTCTTTTAGGATAACACCCAGAAACTTAAAACTGGCCACTTGCTCCCCTCGGTCTCTATTGATAAGCCAGGGCTGGAGGTCTGATCTGCTCCTTCTATAGTCCACTATCAGCTCCTTGGTCTTCTTGGTGTTGAGGACCAAGTTATGGTCTCCACACCACGAAAGCAACCGTTGGTCCACCTCATCTCGCTAGACAGATTCATCCACCACCCCCAGAGATAAGTCCCACCACTGTTGTATCCTCTGCAAATTTAGTAATAGTATTACTAGTGTGAGTGGGAATGCAGGCATGCACATAAAGAGTATAGAGTAAGGGACTCGACACACAACCATGTCTTCTTCTTCTTGTTTTTCAAGGCAGGGAAACAGCTCTGACTTACCGGGCAGGATCCGATCTCGGAACAAGGGCCCTATTTCCGTGCTCTTGGTTGCTGTATCAGCTTCGCAGTCCGGGGGAAAGTTTCTGGGGAAAACGACGCAGAGAAATTAAGATTAAAATTGATTTGTGGGGTGGTAAATCTCTTTTCCAGGGGAGCTCTCCCCCTTTTTTTTAAGGGGGTGACGTTAAGAACTAGTGGTGGGATTCAAATGGTTCTACCACCGGTTCGGTGGGCGTGGCTTGGTGGGCGTGGCTTGGTGGGCGTGGCTTGCCTAACGCACGCGCACATCTTTCCCCACACCAGCTGAGCCAATCAGCTCAGAGGAGAAAGAAGAGGAAAGCGCAGGGGGGAGGGCCAAATGGGAGGGATTGGCGGGTGGGAGGGCCAATCCTGCACTTTTCTCTTCTTTCTCCTCCCAGCTGATCGTCGGATAAGCTTTTTTTTTTTTACTACCGATTCAGTTGAACCAGTCCAAACCAGTAGCATACCACTATTGTTAGGAATGGAAAGAAACTGCAGTCCAGACTGGGTCCAGATCTGGGTCTCTCCCCATTTTTCCTGGACAATTTCTTCTTCTGACCACCTCTCCCAGCTTTGGGGCTATCGGCTGTGTTGGGACTGCAATTCCCAGAGTTCCTCATGCTGGCTGAGGAATTCTGGGAGTTGAAGTCCACCAAGTTGCCATCTACTTTATGCTAAAGGAGAGGGGGGGGCACTGAACCTAGGGGAGAAGAAAGGGGCTCAATCAGATTCAAACTCTGGGTTCAAGACAGGTATGGCACTGACCGGGTGGAGGTCCCTGGGATGGGGCGGCCGGTGTCCACTCGCACGCACCAGCAGTAGCCTGTGGCCTGGTGACACTGCACCTCCTTGTAGGTGCCATCGCCTTCGCACGCCGGGATGAAGGTGCCCTCTTGCTGGTGCTGGCGGGCCTCGTGGATGGCTTCCCGCCGTTCCTGTTCGCACGACGGCGGATATTCTGGACGGGAGGAGCGTCCGGCGCGAGGAAGCAGAAACAGGAGTTGAGTTCGAAGCATTAAAGGTTTATCATGTGCTACCTCTATGCAAGAACCTGTTCTACTAACGGTCAAGCCCAGTTGGTGCCAGATAAGTCAACAGAATTCATGGGAAGGCTGGGCTTCTTTCTCTTGTGGGAATGCAACGATTCTAAACTTATGGCACATTTGACCCCGCCTTCCAGTTCAGCCTGCTCAATTCCTACAAAATGTCAACTCATAAAATATTTATATGTTTATAATACAATTGTAAACTGAATCTGACTGCAACCGTCTTAACTAGGAGTCATTTCCCAAAGAGTCCGAGAGTCAATTCCTAAATCTGGACTCTGGGCAGATCCGGCACTGGACATAAATAATTTTATATCTTTCATGGACAGCCGTCCAAAGTTGCTTTTTAGAGTGACATGAGCAGCAACATACATTTAATAAATACATTAGTAAGAAAACGGGGCTCACCTTGAGCCGGTTTCGCCGAGTGGTTGGTCTTGAAATCCGGAAGGATGATGGGAATCAGGAAAGGCAGGGTGGTGCCTTCTGGGTTACGGAGGAGGAGTGAGGAATCCGTGACGGGCAGGGAAGCAGAATAATTGGCAGGAAACAGAAGCAGAGGGGTTAGTTTAGAGCAATAATGTGGCACCCTGGAAACCATCTTAGCCCACCCAATTCTTCGGTGCCTCAGTGGCCCTTCTAGTTTTTTTCTTACCCCCCCCCCCGAACCTTGCCACATCCAAAGGGCCACATCCAAAGGGCCACATCCAAAGGGCAGCCATGCCACCCACCCAACCGTGTTGCCCACTCAGCAGACAGGGATTGCCATTGCTTTGTTTATTTATATTCATTTTCATCAGTGAGTGAGACAGTGAGTTCTAATCCTGCCTTGGAGCTGGAAACCGGCTGGATGACGTTGGGCCAAGCGCCAGGAGACTGGGAGTTCTAGTCCCGCCGTAGGCATGGTAGCCGGTTGGGTGACTTTGGGCCCATCGCCAGGAGACGAGCCCCGTCTTAAGCATGAAAGCCAGCTAAATAACTTTAGGCAAGTCCTTCTCTTTCTCAACCCAGCCCACCTCACAGGGTTGTTGTGGGAAGAATAGGAGGAAGGAGTATTAGGTATGTTTGTTAGTTTCTTGATAAAAATAGTGAAGGTGGGATATAAATAAATGAAAATGAAAATAAAAAGGAAGGAAGGAAGGAAGGAAGGAAGGAAGGAAGGAAGGAAGGAAGGAAGGAAGGAAGGAAGGAAGGA